GATGACCCTGACTCTGCCTTCCAAGTGCTAGGATTACAGTCGTGGGTTACCATCCTCAGTTGTATTATAGGTTTGTTGGTGAAGAATCAATCAGATCAATCAGTCTGGACTTTTCTACTTTATACACAAGGAAATCTAGACTCTAGAAGGCTATGAAACCTGTCCTCGTTCAGACAGCTGATACTAGGTAAAGTAGAAACCCAACCTAGGCAATCTAAAGAGTAAGTTTTTAAACTGCCAATTCCCTTATGTGGTATTGAACATGGAGGAAAGGATATGGGTTGCGAAGAGAAAGCAATTTACTGTTAAATGAATGTTTGGGAAGATTGAGAGGGAGCAAGGAAGGGAAGCAGGATGGGGGAGGAACAGTGTTTTAATGCCTGGGGGATCAGCTGTGCTTTCAGTTGAGCTGGGATGTTCACGAGAAGAAAGAGGCTGCCAAGAGAGTGTGGAGGAGATGGTGACCACAATTAGGAGAACCCTGTCATGTAATGTGTATAAATGGATGTCCTAACAGGTATGTAAGGCTTTGTTACTTATGGGAGAGACCTTGGCTGGAGTCACAGAGTCAACTGCTCCCCCAGTAATGCCTCGCTTGCATTTTCTACTTGACTCAGAGAACTTAGCAGGGGACAGGAGAGCTGCTTGGCAAAGGCTTTGCTTCTAGTCTTGAAGTTTGACATTTCGTAATCATTCACAACTAGGCTTGGAGCTTAGGATAATTACCTCAGGGTGCAGATATGGATGTAAATGCTGGTGATAGATCGAGATACAGGCAGATGCTCGTGCAGATACAGATGATAGATTAAACCAACAAAGGAACTAACTTCAGAGGTGAAAAAGACATATTTGCTGACTACAGTACACTACTTCCTCCCCTCTGGCATAGTCAGAAGTGCTCAGTGTAGGCTCTACCTCCTGTCCCCTAGTTAAGATTTGAGTCCCAGAGAATGTGTGATCACGGTGTGACTGTTGGTTCAGTTCAAACCCCAAGTAGCCTGTTTTAGGATTGTGATTGGCTTTGCAGGTTGAATTCCTCTACTTGGAAGACATGAGATGAGGGAGATGTGCATCAGAGAACCCAGAATCACGGCTCTCTCTGTAGATGGGGTGAAGGCTGGGGTGGGCTCTGGCTCAGTTCCGCACACTGGCTGTAGGCGGGCGGATTTCCAGTGCATCTTGCTGAGCTGGACTTTGCTTGCCCACGTCAACCTTCTTCCCGCGCATCCCGAGCTCTCCCCCGAAGCTGTGATCCGATTAGTTTGCATTTGATTTCTTTGCCGCCTAATGAACTGCCTGTGTAGTTCTGGCTGTGCTGTCACCAGCGTCTCATTGCCTTGGGCACCAACTCGGGAGAGAGATTCTTAAGCAGTCCTCAGGATCCTACAGGAATTGTACCAATTTACTTCATAACAAGCAATTCACCTTTGCGACCTGTCAGTTCACACAAGCGGCACGGAACCTGCCTAAGAATGGGTTGGTCACTTTCATCGTCCTAATGTATCCCTGAATTTAGGTGGGTCACTATGTACATGCCTAAGGCCATGGGCGCATACACGGTGAGGTTCTGAGCATTAAGGATGCCAATATTCTCATACCATGGTATTCTATTGGGGAAACTCATCCACTGTGTGCTGGAGGATACAGATTTAGCCTAAAGCAAATGGCACTTATTTATAGCAAGCTGTATTTGCAAAATGCTTTGCCGTTTGAGGTTGTTAACTACATTCCAGGTTGAATATTCCTCTACTTGTAAGAGAGATGAGTGTCACAGTCAAACACGAGGACCTTCCCTGGGGTGAGGGGCCACCCAGGTACTCTTCGTCAGAGGGCACACTTGCCAACCAGCGTCTTCCAAGACCTTCGCTGTAGATTGCTTCTTTTGTTCAAAGACCATGTGTTTACTGAAGTAGATACTTCTTTTCCTAAGGAGCATTACAGTACTGCAGATTCTGGGAGTGTCTCTACCTAGGTGACAGAGGATGGAGAAAATCGCCAAGGACTGTAATAGGACGGCCAATAGAAAGAGAGGACCACTGGGTCATAGGAAACAAAGTGGCTTTTCTTCTTCCCACCTTCCCACTAACAAATAGCAGACTCTCCTGGAGAGCTTAGGATCTGAACTATTCATTCGTTTGCAGTCAATGGTGGCACTCTCTTTGGGGTAAGAGAGATTTATGTGGCCTCTCACCAATGGACTCCATCATTTTAAGGAGTATTTCCCAATTGTATCTTTAACTGCACACAGAAAATGCATTTTCTCTTTGAAAAATCTCCCTCACACACATGTCTATTCTTGGCTGGAGGCTGAATAGATGGCTTTTGGGAACTCACTGTTCATTGCTTCTGTATAAATCCAGCCTCTCTCTAGACAGCTTCATCTCATGTGAGCACGGGGCCAGCAAGACACACTGGCCTTGACTTCTAGCAGGTACCTTGCATGTGGACCTGATTTGGGAGGGGATAGACAGAGAATAACGTCCTGAAGAAAGAAACGAAAAGAGAGTTTGATGGTACCTATCACCTGTTCCTACATCCTTTTTCTCAGCCATTTTTTTTTTTGTATTCTTTAATCTTGCCAAGTTTGTAAGGTGGATAAGGTGGATAAGGTGGATAGGTATTGACAGGGATTAATTGCATCTTGATTTTAATTGGCATTGCCAGAAGACAGCAGCAAGGGAAGCGGCCCCTCATGTTTACAGCATTTACAAGCTTTAATGCTGGTGAGCTGGAGGGCAAGGAAGTTAACGCCAACAGGGCTCGCGCATTACAGTGCCCCCTGGTGGTGATTTCCGTACAATTCATCTGGATAGTAACCCAGTAAAGTTCGTTTCAAGGAGAAAAGAAAGGTTACTTTCTTCCTTTGAAGTATCTTTTACTCAAAAGTAAGACTACTGAGAGAAGTTTTTAAAAATTCTCTCTTATGGGTTTTCTTTCAATTATCCTGCCATTATCACCTGTTTCTCTTATTTTTCTCCTTAAGCTATAAAGTATAAAATTTGCGATCATTTTACTTCTTAGTTTTTTTGTTGTGTCTTAGGAAAAAATTGTTGAGACACCTACACCTTGTTTAGGGTTCTGAATATTAATTTTCCCTGATGCTGTCCCACAGCACATAATCATTTTAGATCCGCTACCGCCACCTAGTGGTCATATTGTAGATTTCCAGTCTTACAGAATGAATTCTCAAGGTTGTGACTTGGTACGGAAATGCATCTGATGATGATGTGATTTAAAACCAAAGATGGAAAGGTTTTCTGCATCTTAAAGACTTTTCACGGACATCAAGTTATGCCCAAAGACCTTACTTCACCTCCGCTTACTTTGACCTAGTCAGTCTGCAGTCTGAAGAAAACAGGAGGTCAGATCTCGACTAGTCTGTGGCCCTTTGGATACTCCCAGTAATCCTTTCTCAGCCTAAGACAAAGTGCAGAACCAAGACTGAGCTTCAGAAGCCTAAACATTATAAAGGTGAACCTGTGGGTGAAGTGATTTGGTGTTGGTTAGTCTGGACTCTACGGATGTCATTATCCTTGACTTCTGCTGTGTGTGCCGCTGTCCAGTTCTTCTGCAGTCCAGGAGGGACTGGGGCTCAGTCCTGGATCTATGGTTCAGTGAAATGCAAGTGTTAAACAGAGTGCTGCCCACAGTCATTGAACGTGTCCTTTGCAGAGTCCCATGTTAAAAGTGTCTCATCCACACAGTGATGGAATTCATTTGGGAACCAACAGCATTGGGAACCCTGCCATGTCCCCACATGGGTCCATGTTACACAGAAAGCAACAGATAGGATGAGGAGCCCCTACACCAGGAGGGGGAGAACATTTGCTTTTCTAAACCAATGAGTCATAGCTCCAAATCACCTTCGGGAACCGCTTTGCGAAGCCTTTCAACCAGTTAACCCTGTGTCCCATCAAGTATGACATTCTTAATGCACCCTCAGGAAACCAGAACATTCTGTGTGTCCCCACCATCTCCAAAGGCACAGCAGTCTCTCTAAAATCGTTTCCTGCTTGGGACACCAACTGTCAGAAATAGCTTAAGAAATCTGGAGGGTTCTGTCCACAGGCTCCTTTACAGATAATGAGTAAAATGGGTAATCGTGGGAACTGAAGAACAAAGAGCAAATGGGGCTTTCGTGTGTGGGGAACAAACAGTTATTCTCTAATAGGCATTTCTCATGTTTGTCACCAAAAATAGATCAAGAGCCTGTGTAGCTAACTGCTATGTGGCAAACAACGGTGAAAATCTTTTGGAAGAAGCCAAAAGATTGCGTTCATTCAATGATTCAATGATTGTTGATCATTCCCTCTGCATGATCAACGCATGGGCTAATTAGACAGCTGAGAAATGCTGACTTTGCTCTGTGACCTAAACACTTTAGATCGAGACACTCCTGGGGTCAAATGCCAAATCTCACAAAGGTGTTTGTGACCTTGACGGTACTGTCTTTTCCTGATATGTAGAAATGGGTATAATGGTAGGCAGCCTGCGATGCTAATGTCAGGGTCAAAGGAGACCTTAGATCAACCCCAATGTCATAGGAAGAATCCACAAATATCAGTTGGAATTATGACCAATGATGGGCGTCATGTATTTTGGAAACCATAGGTGTGTTTTCAAAACATTTTGTCATTCATTCATCTAATAATAGGAGAGATAGATGGTATGAAGGAAGCCAAGAACGGTCACTTTGCTGTCATCTGAGTTCTTGGCAATGGATGTACCACAGACACATCCCTCTGGGTGGACCAGTGGAGCCAACGATTCTCAGAAAAGCAACAACCCATTCTCATTCTTGAAAGGCCATTGCCAACTCTGTGTGTCACAGGGAAGATCTGTGCCCCTAACTAAGTGGAATGACAGAAATCACAATTTGACTCCCTCAGTGGCGCTTTCTAACTTCTCAGTGTTAGACCTCAGAACGCAGGAGCCACCGAGTCATGGCTGTCCCTGCTATCTTGCCTCCCTCACTGTTCTTTTTCTTTTGTGTCTGGCAGGCAACTCCCCATCTGATGAGTCGGAGGAGCGGGAAAGAGAGCCCAAGGTGCTGACATTCCCAGAATACATCGCCAGCCTGTCAGACTCTGGCACCAAGCGTATGGCAGCTGGAGTCCGAATGGAGTGCCAGAGCAAGGGACGATGTCCCTCATCTTGTCCTTTGTGTCATGTGACGTCCAGCCCTGAAACCCCTGCCGAGCCAGTCCTGCTTGAAGTGACCAGAGCATCCCCCATCTATGAACTGGTGACCAATAACCAGACCCAGAGGGTAAGAGGGCTGAGACACTTGGCTCTGGAAGGTAATGAAAACAGAGAACTTGCTCCGCACCACAATCGAGAGTGGAGCATCTTTTTATTAAGCTAAGAGGGGCACCTAGATTTGCATGTTTGCATATTAAGTCAAATCAAGTAATACATTCCAGAATACCACGGCAATGTGATTCAGGAGTCAGAACCGAGCAAAGAAGATGGAAAGATGGGAAGGAAGTAGGAAAGGTACATGATTGGCAATCACCAAACTCACTGTGATACCTCTCCCAAGGGGGTGTGGTTACGAGGACAACCATCTCTGTCTGCCCCTGGAGGAGATGCATTGGCTCCCCTAACTGATCTCCCAACCTAGAACTTGCTGCACCTAGAATAGAAGGGCCATGTCAGGTACACATCCCAGATGAAGGAAGGATCTAACATCCTCAAACTGGAAGAGTCCGGTACCCTGGTCATCACAGGCTTTCAGGACGAAACACCACATTCCTGCCCATCTTTCCATGTTTTATCATGCTGGAAGACCATGATATTTCCCAGACATCCTTTCTCTGTCTTTATTATCTTTACTTCTCTGTTCCTGGAGATCTTAGGAGAACATGAGTGAGCCATTAAGAATCAGGTACGGGGGTAGGAGGAGCAGAGAGAGTGACAGTTCGTTCTTTAGCCCCCTTACCTCCTCCAATGTACAGGACAGAGTAAGCAAACACAGACAGGCACAGGCCTTGCCAAACTTGAAATTGAAAGGCTCCAAGAGTGAGATTTCTAAGCTTGTCTGCAAGGCAGCTGGGGAGTGAGCTGAAGCAGTGAACTGCTTGCTTACCTGACTGCCAGGGATGCCCATCCAGGTGGGGTGATAATTGCTTCCTTTTTTCTCTTTGAAGAGACACCTGGTGTGTCCCAGTTGGTTTCATAGGTGTTGCTCAGACCCACAGGAGGGATTTTGCATGTGTGTTTCTCTCACCTACCCGCCTCTTCCATAGATATTTCAACGAGTGTTTGAAAATACAGGTTTTTTATCATAGGAACAAAAAGACAAATGGTTTCTGCTGGCCTACAGATTTATCCTGAGTCTAAAAGAGATGGTTATGAGATTGTGGGAAGAGGGTCAGGAGAGAGGGACTTAAAGAAAGAAGAACAGGGACACTCAAAGGTGTGCTGAGGTCACTGGACATGCAAAGGTGTGCCTATGTTAACACAGCGGCTGCCCTACCCTTATCCACCTAACACCATACTCCCTCAGGTTGCTGTGGCTGATGACCAAATACTTCCTCTGTCATCAGTCTGGGTACAGTGAGGTCTGGGCTAAGCAGGACCATCCTATGGATTGGGGTGCACAGAGATACAGATGGAGAAGAGCTCAGTGAGACACAAGGGCCTTGGGATTGTCAATCAAAACCAGGATACCTAAGGAAGTTCAACTTCAGTGGCCCCATTTTCCCTACCCAGTTTCCACAGAGGAGTGGGAAGACCCTGTCTCTCTGGCCCTGTCTTAAACACTTCAGTTTCTAAATGCTGACAAGCTAGTCTGAGATGGAGTTTTGTCACTACCGGGGGAGTCTCCTCTTCTCTTTGTGTGCCACAGTCTACCTCCATCACCCTCTCTGTAACTCTGTCTTTCCTTCTCGGTTTAAATTTCCAAAAGCTGGGGAGAGGGTGGACAGGGGCTCATCATGACACTGGTGACTCTGTGGGGGTTTTCATCTTCCCCTCTAATATGTGGGTTCATTTCCTGTCTGTACCCTTTGGCCTATTGTCCCTGTGTTGGATTAGATAACCTCTGATACCATACTTAATAAAATCTTTGATTGTGATAAACAAATAGGTTCAACCAACAAATGTTAGCTTATTTCCTCGTGTCACAAATCCATACCACTTATGTTCATCTCATTAAATGGCACAAGTGTCCCTGTTGTCATCCTTTGTATCTTTTCTGTCATCATAAGCAACAGGTATATCCTGAGACCCCATCACAACCTAACTCTTCACTGCAATCAAACATTTTATTGCAGCAATCTTCTTGTTGGTCCTTTTATTAAAACCCCTGGAATTGCTGTACAATATGGATGTCTGGCCATATTGCATCAAGATAGTTTAATGATTCCTCAGATTGAGAGCAATTTAGAGTACTTAGCACATTGTTGCAAAGCACGATGCAATTCATCTTCACTCGCATGGTTAGGTTGTTAGTACTATATACTCTATAATTTAACTTTTGGGCCTCCCCAAACACAGGACATTTTCTTTCATGAATTCAGCCATTCAGACTTCTGAGTCTCTGTCCCAGGAATGTACTCTGTCACATGTAAGCTCCTGGAGAATTCCTGCTGTCATGTCATGCTTCAACTCAAACATCACTAGCTCTCAAGGTCCCTTCCTTCATGTTCCTGGTCCAACTCAGACCCCTTCATGGAACTTCCACTGTATGGACACACATGTTAAAGCATGTGTCCCCTATGATCATCCTTGTTTAGCTACTTATTTCACTCTAGACTATGAGAAATGTTTTGTCTGCTACGGAATGCCTGGGTTGGTACATGGATGATGCTCTACTGCATAAACAAATGAACAGATGAATAAATGAATGAAATATTCTATTGATGAACCTGAATTAAAATTCATATTTTTCTTCCTTAATAAAAACAATAGCCAACATTGACTTTTTCTACACTCTATTAAATTTGTTAACAAGTATGTATCCCCCAGGAAGTGCACGGACTAGTAAATTGCAAGCACTTAATAAAGTGGAATGTCCCTTTCTCTTCCTTTTCAAGGAAGTTCAGGGGGTTGCATTTTGATTCTTCTTTTCTATTGCATATTAGTCAGCTTTTCATCACTGTGACAGAATAACTGGAATAATCAACATAAAAGAAAGGACTGTCTCAGTTCTGCAGATTTAGCCATGGTTGCCCAGCTCCAATGCTGTGGGCCTGTGGCGAGGTAGATCACGATAGTAGAGGTGCCTGCTATGGGAGTCTTCTCACCTCACTCTAGCTGGGAAGCAAAAAGAACTCATGAAGAATACATCACGACTAGTATGTAACTTTCAAGCGCAAGTCCTGGTGACCTATGTCTTTCTATTAGAACTCACTTCCCATTATCATTAGGTTAGGTATCAATCAGTATACTAATATATGAATGAAATTGGTGTCTTTTTTTTTCACTTCTCAATGGTATCATCACCTTGGACCAAGCCTCCAGTACAGGACATTTCATACCCAAACCACAACATCGCCTCATCCAACCTGTTGCAGTTTGATGCACCCCAGAATTCGGAGACACGGAGAGTCTCACAGATTGATGTTGCCCAAAGGTGGAGAGTTAAAATTCCTGAAGAAATAGCATTTAAAATAACTGTATCATGTATACCTTGTCATATTTTTATATTAAAAATCTGATCATGTTCCATGTTTAAAACATTATACTTATTTATCATTGTTCTTGAGATAGAACCTCTCCTTGCAGACAGACTATCCGTAAGCCAGCTCTACATCCTGGGCACTTGAAAAGAACTTCTTTGCCCTAACTGCGTCTCTTATAGACAGATTGGTATTTCTAGTTGACTTTAGGAGTCCAGTTTCAGTAAGGGTCCAATCTTCTTAATGTTAGATTTTCTACTTATATTGCTATGATTTTTGTGACCAGATAACTTAAAAAAATAAACCACTAATATGTATAAATACAATTTCATGTGTTTCAGTGTGACATTTCCATACAAGCCTGCATTGTACTTAGACCACATTCATCCTCCATTCTGTCTTCCTTTCTCTTCCTCCCTCATGCCTTTTCCCTTCCTTAGCATTTCTTCTTTGATTTTTCAGGCCATTACTCTTGGAATTTCCATATATGAAAAAAACATACACCTGTGTTTTCATCTTGTTTGTCTCCTGTCACGTGCTGTCCTTCAGCTCCAGCCATTTCCCCCCATGAAGGTTCCGTTTGTTTGCAGCCTCCTGATGCTGTGTGCACCCATGGGACCCCACCTTCTCGTGGAGATCCCGCCACACCATTGTGAAATTTGGATATTTACATGAATCCAGTTTGCTTGTTTATTATCTGGCTGCAACATTTATGCAGACAGGGGCCATGTTGCCTTCTTTTGCGTCATTGCGTCCTTCATGCTTAGCACAGGAAATGGCCCCTTGTAGATGGTTATCAAATAGTTGTTGACTGAAGACACTGTCAAACAGAAGGTATAACTTTATCTTATTCTGTCTGCTTCAAAGAGCCTGTTTTAAAAAGTTTGTCCTTTGGTTTGAATTTCAGTCAGAAACGCATAAAGTGAGTGACTTGCTGGTGGCCTCAATGCTGATTAAGGGTACACAATGGAAGGAGCCTAAGAAGTTCCGTGAACCATGCAGAGCTCAGTCCCTGGCACTGTCCCACTCTCTAGCCTGTGATCCTGAGCAAGTACCTAACTCTCACTCCCAGAGTCCTTCACTGTAATTCATTAGTACCATCTATCCAAGAGTTAGCATCCAAGGGGTTCTTACTAAATAGAAACTATGTAAATCGTAGCTGTGATCGAGAATCATTTCCTGCTTCTCAGAGACTCTCAGTCTTGGGAGGAAGTCAGTTAACCCTTAGTCCAGCTCATAACCTTAAGTAACCAGTGTTAAACTCTGAAAGAATGGGATATATGTGATGACTCTTTATATAGATATTCATGGTGTCAGATCCTTCTCCCTTCTCCCCTTTCTTTCTTCCCCTCTCCATCCATTCCCCTCTTCAGCTTACTTCTTTTCCTTGTGATTGTTTAGTATGCTTTTTCAATCTACAGGACAGCTGTCCCCCCTCCCCTGACTTACCAGTGTGGACAAAAGACACTGAGACAGAGGGAAGAAAATCATTAGAAAGCCAAGGTCGAAGCTGTTCTGTGCTTCCAAGACGCGGCTCTGAGCTCAGCTGACTTGGAACCTTCACCCTGGGATTATCTGAGTTGAGGGAAAAGAGCCCTCTGAGAGGCCACCATTCTCTCAGGATTTGCTCTCTCGCCAGAGAATTGCCTCTGTCATAAGTGTTGTTGCCTCTTGGGTCGGATTTCATCTTTGTTTTTTATTTTCTGCTGAAAACATCTCCACGAACTTACTTTATATAAAGAGCTATGCAAGACTATAGTTTTTTTTATGTATAAGGTTCTATGTGAGCCTCAACTCTGTCATTCAAAAACAAAAATGTGTACCAGGTGTGAAGCATATATTATGTCACTTGGAACAGACTGTTCATTTAATTGTCACAACATCCCTACTAGGAAAGTGATATTTTTATCATCAAGGAAACTGAGTGTATGTAACTTATCCAAGGTCATAGGCAATGATTGACAAAACTGAGGTTCTCATCCCCAGAAGACTGATGTAGGCTTAGAAATTAGCCTATAATCCACAGCTTCTCCCAGTCACACTCTAAGGAAAATGCTTGATGTCTAATCACAACCCAAAGCAGAACCACATACGTATTCAAATCGGATCACAAAATGGGCTGAGACACCATGAAGGACAAGGGCAGGATGAACAGGGCAGGTGTGAGTGCAGAGAGAGGCATTCAAAGAAGGGCAAAGTTGCTCTGGGTAGAGGGAAGTATAGGAAAGAGAGGCAACCCAGAGGTGTGTGGTAAGACATCCCTGTTACTGATGCCCACAGTAGGAGGTGTGTGGTAAGATATCCCTGCTACTGATGCCCACAGTAGGAGGTGTGAAAGAGAGTAATGAGGGGAAGGCAGAGGCTGACTTACTTTCAAAGAGAACAACCTTTATTTATTTATTTATTTACTTACTTATTTACTTACTTACTTACTTACTTATTGCAAACGGAGATTGCACTTTTGTCTCCCAGCTACTCAGACCCAAATAATCACATGTAAAAATATTAATTACAACACTGTTCAGTCCAGTGGTTAGCTGTTTTGCTTTTCTGACCTTCATGTTGAACCCCAATATCTGTTTCTGGGTTTTTATTAATCATGTTACAATTTATTTTTATGTCTTTATTTAGAGACAAGATTTCTAGTCAGGACAGGCCTCAAACTTGCATCTAATTGACCTCTAACTTCTGATCCTCCTGCCTCCAACTGCTGGGATTATAGACATGTGTCATCATCCTTGGTTTATAAGGTGACAACTCAAACTATAGAGATGAGTTATTACTCTAACAGGAGAGTGACACCCCAGGTATTCTACAGGGCTGCGGTTTTCCTAGATTCCATCTTCTGCAACACAGTTTCAGGCTAAAGAATGGTGATATCATGTTGATACAGCCTTTTCTCTGGAAGTGATTTAGGACCACATAGACCCTTGATGCTAGGTCTCATGGTAATGACCGTCTAGCCATGGTTTCCTAACACTTACTCTTTGTTTTTTGTTTTGTTCAGCTCTTACAGGAGGCCACCATGAGCTCTCTCTGGTGCTCAGGGACTGGAGATGTCATCGAGGACTGGTGTCGGTGTGACTCCACTGCTTTCGGAGCGGATGGCCTCCCCACCTGTGCACCCCTCCCACAGCCTGTGTATGGTTCCTTTCCCATGCCCCTCTCCTGCATGAATGCCTTAGCACTATTATGCAAAAATAGAATCAAGTAGATATTAGTCTCCAAGAAATAGCCAGAGTGCTGGGGACTGGAAAGAAGAATGTGGTACAGTGGCTGCTGCGGGCAACTTTCAGTATATTAGAAGGAGCAGGCACACAAGCCATTTAATGGAAGTTGTGTGACAAATCTCACATTTTAAAAACATGAAGAGCTGTTCACTGAGCCTGCATTTGGGCAACACTAAAGACTCCGTGGAGCAAATAGCTAGTAAATGCCTTCCATATGGAGGTCAAAGCAAGACAACGTGGTTAGAGAGTCATACGAATAGACATATGGTTGCTATGGGAGATTTAGAGGCCTATAGGGAGGTCTTAGTAAGCCCAACAACTCTGCTGCGTCTCAAAGACATTGTAGGTTCCAGGCACTACATGGGGTAGGGAAACGTTCTCATCACCACACTGCCAACCAATGGACCAGGAAATGGCTTCAAGAGGATTGAATTTTATCCAAAATTAGACAGCAAGAAGCAGGTGATAGGTGAGAGCAAGTGTAGTACAAGAAAGCACACAACTGAAATGGGTTTAGGTAGAGCCAACACGGCAAGAAGACTGTTTACTGTGAGAATGAACCACAGCCGAAAAGGGACCCATCAGGGAGTGTGTAGAGTTGAGGAGAAGACCCATCCCATTTGAGCTTGGCCTCCAGCTATTGAGGGATAATTGTGTAGATGTACAGTAGGTAGAGAGGCAGGTAGATCTCTGTAAAGGAAATAAAGCCTAGTGATAGCAAGCGTTCAACCCAATGGTAGATAGAGTCGTAGCTCTGAACATGGCTGCTCTCTTAGCAACATGCACTATGCAGGGCAGAGGCCTGGCATGGACATGAGAAAGTGTCTGTATTCAAGGATGGCATGAGGTACTTCAGAGGTGCCTGAGAATGAACACATCCATTCCTAATCTCTCATGGGAAGCTTAAACAGAACGAGCCGAGATGTGGAGGAGCCAGGCCCCAATGCAGGAATTCAGGTCTTCCTATAATGAGGTGTTCCCAGTGGTAAAGACACAAAATGTTATTTCTGTGAAACAGTGCTGGTAGAACAAGGTGGGGGCACACGACCCCATGGATTCATAGGTTCAGGAAAGCCCAAAGTGAGAGTCAAGACCTGCAGCAGCTAGAGTACTAGTTACAAAGAGCACTGGACCATTGGCAGAAATCCTAGGATGGAGGCTGCCCGCTGATCTGCAGGTAAAGGCAGATATTAGAGAGCAGACCCGAAGAAGAAGAAACTGAGAAAGAGGGTAATTTTTACCAACGGATCATCAGTGGAAGCCAATCTACTCTCTGTGCAGGTGCCTTTAAATGCTCCAGCCATTGACTTCTTGCTCCTGGTAGTTGTAACTTGGCTATCCGAATCAAAATAAAAACAAGTTCCTAGTTAATAAAAAGTCATTTCATGTGGTAGTAAGGGAGCCATTAAGAGAGTCTGTGCTGTTAGACCAATTCAACAGGTAAGAAAGCTACCCAATAACACGGAAACCATCGAATGGAGGGACACAAGATCCAGCCACTGTGTCTAAGGCTGATTGGATATAAACATGCATTAATTAAATGTGATAACTAAAGATCAAGCTGAGCTGGGTATCATACCTGAGAAACGTCTATTAAAACTTTTCCTGTCAGTAACAGATCTTAGTTTTTTGCACTTTAATTGGCAGTTGGAAATAGAAATGTACTCTACTTTTACATAAATCCACGTAAATCATACACACTCCTATTTCTCAATAGGGGTTGGCTTTAGCTCTTATTTTCACAGAATCTGAGTTCTCAGAAAGCTTAGTTACTAACTTAAGCTTCCTAATGCGTTTTTCCCTTCAAAATAGCATTCTGCATATGACTCTAATTAATGAATTTGTCAATATCCGCACTGTTTTGGGTCTCTTCCATCCTAATGTCATATGCAAGCTATGCACTCCTTCATAGTGGCCACTAACAGATGACCATGTGTTTCCTATTATTTTCCTACTAGCTAAACTGCTTCCTATTCCCCAAACAGCATCCCTTGATTTCATGCTAAAGTTTTATCACATTCATTATTGTGTGTTTCTGATACTCATTAAATTGCATAAAAGAAGGTCTGGAATGGGTTTGTGTACCACTGCATAGCCTTGGAGAACCAAAAAACATGATGATGGATTTGTTGAGTTGAAACTGGACGTTGCAGGTTGTTTGGTGTGATTCAGCTCTGCTGTTCTTGTCCTGTGGTCTTGAGGCCATGAGGGGTATCTGCAAGCTGTCTAGGAGGTGGGAAGACTAGGGCTGCAGACATTTTTTGAGATGGAGAGACCAAGGATAATGATGTGGGTGAATGCTAGGGACATTGGGAGAGAGGAAGGCTACAGTGAGCAGAAGCTGGGAAACCCCTCACAGTAGAGTGGTCTGCAAAGAAATGAGGAATTGGAAGCAAGAAGGTAACATGAGCCATCTACAGAAGTTAGAACAAGGAAGTAAATGGATAGCTCTTGGATGGCCAGGAGATCCACACCAGTGAGCTTCAGCATTGATTACTGACTCTTGGTAATATGCAGAGAGGTGTGAGCTAGCAGGGCAAAGCAGGAGTCAAAGGACAGCTTGAGAAGAATGAAGTGACTGCAAACTGAAACTAGTGACAAATTGGGACTGAAACAGGAGTTCAGGTTCCAAGCAGCAGACTCGGGGCATCACCCCAAAGAGAATGTGGCAGCAGCCAACTTTCACCTTAGAGTCTCACTTCTAAGCTGAGCCTGTTCTGAGGTTCTGAGAAGATGGACTGGAGAAGGAGACAGAGCAGAAAAAGGAGGGGGAAGCAGGGCTTGCCAGATCCTGGGGGTTATGGGACTGAAAGGCACTAACTGTGCCTTTATCAATGCAAGATTCTCTTGAACGCCACCTTCAGTGGGCTTTGAAGTGCTCATTGCACAATGTTTGCCTAGTATTCCCCAAGAGAAAAGCCAGAAATGAGATTTCCAACTATATAAAAGGGACCTATCAGTAAAGCTCAATTACCAAACACACGTACTATGGAGACTGTTATTCATTCAAGAGATCCAAATATAAAGCACCCAAATCTTCAGGAACTTCAGCATCTAGTGAAGGAGACCAGTCCTCAGAGAGAGTTTGTACTGAGGCAGTTGAGATGGTAGTTAAAGGGTGACGCAGGTCCCAGCTGGGTCCCCAATTCATCTTCCTTCTTTTCTGCACTCAGGCTGAGACTTTCCACGGTGCATGAACCCAGCAGCACCCTCGTGGTCCTGGAGTGGGAACATTCGGAGCCACCCATTGGAGTGCAGATTGTAGATTACCTGATCCGTCAAGAGAAAGTCACGGACCGGATGGACCACTCCAAAGTCGAGACAGGTGAGCGCGGTCTCCATCCCCTGCCTAGTCTTCTTCCAAGGGAGGAAAAGGAAGAGAAGGAAAGAATGCTCTTCCTCATGGCACTGCTTCAGGCTCCTGGTATTTCAGGGCAGCGCATGGATGCAGAAAAGAAAGAGCTAGTGCCTCTTCTAGGCAGCAGCCATCTTGTCCATTTAAGAGTTTTTGCATAGTGAGCAGCTGACAGTCTTGTTTTGATTTTGCTTTTCTTTTATTTATAAAAGAGGCGTCCATTTCATTGCCTCGAGGCACACTCGCAAGCAGCAGCAACACAGGACACCAGTTATCCTAGCCCACAATTAAGAAACAATTCTCTGCTAACCACTGCCATGATTACAGAAAAAAAAAATTCCTTTGCTAATAACCCCCTCCAGGCAAAGGCATGTACAAACAGATGCTCTTGATCCATGACTTGTCCTAAAGCAAACTGACTTTTGTCAAGGCCCGAGAGAAAAGGAAAGCCTTACATGAGTAGAAAGAACCCACAGAAATAAGAGTCCCATGCCTTACTACTTTGCTGCCTACACATCCGAGAAAAGCCAGCATAAATAATCCTAAGGCTTTCACATAAAATACAGTCTTCCTTAAGGATGAAGATGTTCACAATCTCAGAGCTTCTAGTAAATTTGGGATTGAGGCTTTGGAGAAACATTTTGGGGCATGGAATGCTCTCCGTTGCTGTTTCTGGGGTTCTTCCCTTTGTATGTATAGGTATTGGTATGGTCTGTTAGGGCCCAGGGACCAGCACATCTGTTCTCTATCAATGTCAAGGTGTCTCATGGAAAAATGTTTCACAGATGTGGCATGTACATTTTGCCTTAGTAGTCCTTGATCTAACTCTGGAGAAATGACTCTCAGCTGAATGACTAACAGTGAAATGGCCAGAAAACAAAACAAAACAAAACAAACAACAACAACAACAACAACAACAAAAAACCACCCCAAAACAAGGTCTCCTTTGTCCACTGAGAATTTAAGAAGTTTCAACAAGCTTTCAGAGTGTTTCTCACTGCTGGAACATCTCTGTTTTTTATACTTTCCCCATCCTTTTTCATTTGTGCAGAAACAGTGCTGAGCTTTGTAGACGACATCATCTCTGGAGCCAAAGCTCCGTGTGCCATGCCATCTCAGGTGCCAGACAAGCAGCTAACCACCATTTCTCTCATCATCCGATGCCTGGAACCTGACACCATTTACATGTGAGTAGGTGCACCTTAAAACGATTTCTTACCCAGAAAGTTCTGGGATCTTTGCGGGCTCCCTTCGTTGCCTGAGTTCCTTCAAAGATGCGGCAAGAGATTTTTAGCCTCTGCAGTCAAATCTCAGTAGACGTTATGGAAACACTTCCTGAAGAAGTCTTGTCATCAAAGACTTTACAATATACAAACGGCATAAACAGATAAATGTGACCCAAGGCAAAATGGAATACATGTTGGTTAGAAGGCCAGGGACATGTTGGAAAGAAAGAAGGAATTGGTTTATTCTAAGTAGAGTTGGTGTCTAGATTCTAAATGTGATTGTATAGAATCCAATAGCTACTGTGAAGTAGAAAAGGCACACTAGGTTAGAAACCCCCAGGCAAAGGTAGAGAGGCGTGAAGGGGAGCAGCGGGTGTCCAGGAGGTCTGAAGCGGATGGGGAGTAAACAGAAATGGAAGGACATGAGCCTGGGACACCAGAGTGAAAGATGTATGTCAGAGAAAAGCCACTTTTTTAACTAAAGGAGGACAATGCCAAGAACTATGTGTGAGAAAGCTCTCTCCAGTGGTTCTGTAATAATTTATAGAGTTTAGATGCTGGTCAGCATTTTTCTTCAAAGAAAATGGAGTGAATTATATCACCATGCTTGGAACATCCCTATGTTCTCTGTGAACTCTTCCCGTCTCTTCCTGAGCCCTGGGAACAACTGTAAAATATTTGTGAGCAAAGACATAAAAGATGCCAAAAGAGGAGATTCAGTGATGGAATCTAAGTCATGATGGAAAAATTCAGGGTCTAACACAGAATTCATAGTGATACAGTTCGGAAGTGTTTTGACCCCATCAGTATGAAAAACATCTAACAGTTTACAGATGAGGTCACAGGCATGGAGTCAAGGTTTCCAGAATAAATCATCCCCACTTTCACTCTTGGGGAGTTCAAAGATGGAAAGAACTAGAAGTCTGAGTGCCGTTGATCGTGATGAACTTAGATATTTAGCTGTGCATCTTTCATGTAGAAATAAGAGATGTAGCTCAGGCCTGTGCAGGATGAAAGGGAAATACATAAAGACAAATGAGCTCTGAGAAACTGGACTGGATACACACACAAAGATGGCAATGTCAGTACCAGCGACTATCTGTCTGTTCTTTGGACAAGGATGACATGATCCATAAAAGCGCTCTTGATAGTGGACAGCTGTGGCCCTACAGAGTAAGGGTTCATAACAAAGGAACACACATCTGAAGGATAGCAATCTGCTTTTTAAAGTATCATAATGTGACTCACATGACCACCTGTAGTGAGGGTGCGCTAACCCCTATCAGTCCATCTTACCTGTTAACTAGGACGTCAGAAGGTCTAGAGGAGCAAGAGGTGGCCTTACTAAGAGAGGCCTTACTAAGTCTAGGCCTTTCCTCAAGTTGGCTGATTTGACTTTGTTTCCTGGTCAAAGACCCGAGAGCTAAGATCCTCTCCCATATTCAATATCCTTGCTGAGCTGGGGTTCACTTCCTAAGCTTTGTAAATCATCTACTTCCTGTCAATGCCGATTACAGGAGTGGGAGAGACAGGGTAAAGGACAGCCGGCTTCCACTAGGTGGCAGTGCAGATCGCTGGAAAACCTAGCTGAACCTCAGCTGTAACTTCATAGCCCCCAGTGGGGGAGCCAGTTCTTGCTTTAGCAAGATGATATTCCTAGATCCTGACAGAATAACCTGGGGCAGCCTGAACACAAGACACAGTGTGTTTGGGGAAAAAGTGAGGTGTCCTAGATGCCACAATATTTCTCTTTGTTGATGAGCGAGGAATCATTGTACTTCCATCCCTGGGACAAAGAAAGCATCCAGCAAACCTGGTTTTGCGTCTAACCATAAAGTGACTTTAAATATGACCCTTAGCTTCCCTGCACTTGGTTTTTCTTCACTTCGGATTAAAAGAAAGGTACCCATCGCATATAGACAGCTGGTCCTATGAGACAAGACTTATTCCTATTCCATAACTGAAGAAACTGAGGTTCAGTAGAATTGAATAACTTCCCCAGAATCACACAATAGGGATGTACACAATGGTTAGGAGCTGAAGCAGGGTTTCTCTTTTTCACACACTGAGTCCTACTTCCAGGCCACCCCAATTTATTCTGCCAGGAACTAGGAGCATTATCGTGCATTGGAGCGCTGGTCCCCCTGGGAGATTATGGGGTTACATCTGACTTTCAGCTTTCTTTGTCATATATTTTATTTAATGCCATGTAAGAAGCATTTTGACAATGGACCAAGTGGCACAAACACAGTTAAGAACCCCTTAAAGTGTACAGGATCCAACATCTTCATTTTAGGGTAGGTACTGCCCCTCCCACTACCGTCTCACCCACACTGCCAGCCGGGAGGAGAGATTTGCATTTCTGAGCACATTACAGCAGACAGATGATAGAGAAGCATGTCTGAGGCAGAGGATCAACAAAGCCACCACATGGTGGCTGGAGGAAAACAGAAAAGCAGCGGGCAATGCAGCCAGCCCCTGACAGGCTTACGGTCTTCCTTAGCATTAGGCCCCAGACCTTTAAGGCCCCGACCCAGGGCCTGAGCCAGTCTGTGTCAGTTCCCACGCACATATGCCTCCGCCCGTGTCATCACCACGTCGCTAACTACGCACTGAGAGGTCCCAGCCTGTGGCTGGGGAGGGAGCCCAGAAGCGTTGGAAGAAGCAGTAAACGGACTTACACATGAGCCCTCTGGATCTAGAGCCAGGCTTATCTCCTCTGTCAGTAATTCCAGCTAACCCTCTTGCTGTCTTTTGAGGGTGCTACGGCAGCGGGATGAAAAGGCTAACAACAAACAGAGAAGGCCTCCCTGACATGCCAGCACGTGGCATTTCCACATGAAAATGTGGCAAGTGTTCCTCAACCTTCAGTAGTCAAACACCCTGGCTGTTCTCTCCCTTTCTGGGGGCTTGGGGAGGGGGGGCATTGGGGAAGGGCTGGGCCTGCTGAGGAATGGTTCTTAAGGTCAAGCTCTGTCTGTACTTGGAAAGTTGTGTGAGGCATTTCCTTTCCTAGTATCTGCCTTGTATTAAAAAATAAATTGTGCTGCAAAATAATCGGAGCTTGGCAGCTTGCATTTCACACTAACGGCCTTTCAAAGTACGTGATGCTGAACGCCAACAGGGGCAGCTTTGTCCCAGTCCGGGATCAGATATGGTGTAGCTGGAACGTATAGCAAGACAAGATAGGCAGGAACGCTGCCTGGAGTGTGGACTAGCTGGAACTGAAAGACAGGCTCCATCTGGCAGTCAGTTTGGTACCCAAGGAATAGGATATTGTAGTTCAGAGAAAGTTAAGAATTAAGGATCCAGGATTAAATTATGATGGGCTGCAAATAGTGGCCATTAAGTTGAGGTTGCTGCCTTCAGCTTACTGGCAGGTGGCAGTAGCCTAACCTGGAGTTGTAGGCTGAAGGAAGAGGAACACTAGGGGAACAGGGCTATGCTTGTAACCCGAGACCACACCCAGGCCAGTCTGGAGTGTCAGCCTGCAAGGATCAGGGCTTTGCATCTCCTAGCTCTCCCGAGAGCAGCTGCTAGAACCGAGGGAGTCGGCAGCAAAGAGCAAACCTTGGAGACAAAACAGCAGAAAAAAAAAAAAGACCCCTCTTACCTTAAAAGGGTCTCAGATTCCCAAAACATAGATTGGTTCCCTACTGAATCCCGGGGATTTCTAACTAAACATACTATTAGAGGTCCCAGAGAACATGACTTAGTATGGGAATCACATACACCATGAGGTGTAAGTTTGCATGGGGGTACCTATGCTACCTCTAGGTCTACCCTTCAGAACCATAGTTGAATGTGCTACGAGACTGGGTTAAAAAGAATGGGTTCAGAAATGAATCTAGTTCCAAAAAGCTCGGGTGTACCATTTACAGGTTTGAGGGTCTTGGGAACAATTCTAGGAACAGGACCAAGAAGCTAATGAGGTACACAGAGTCCAATGGGAGAACATATCATGGCTGCCAGGACTAGGGTGGGGATCAGGAGTGTCAGTGCAGCCCATGCTCCCTCCAGGATGGCGTGGCAGGAGAAAGGTGGCAAGATGCTCAGTTTGGAGTCAAGGTGCATGTGGTGGGAGGGGGCCCTTAGTGCTGGCTCTACCAAGCAAGGTCATTGAGCAAGGCTTAAGAGCAGGGCATGAGATAAATATGTGGGGTGCTCTGAACCCTCTCTGTTGATAAGAAAGCTGGATGCTTGGCCCTGATCCACCTGCTGAGAAAGTCCTGTTGGTATCCAACAGCTCTGGTCTGGTCCATGTCTTTTGGAGTAAAGCAGGCTGTCACATTTTAGGTCTAACTAGACCCGGGATTTTGCTAGGATGAAGCCTACAGTGTCATGAGACTGGGGAGGGAAGAGAAAGGTATGTGGCATCTTGGGGCATGCAGGCCCTCACTCTGCCTATCCTCTGTGATTCTGAGTAAGGAAGAAACTGTGGGCTTGAGATCATATCTCTTTGAACATCATGTTTTTGGAAGAATAATTAGGTAGCATAATAAATAAATAATTTGGAAAGAAAAAAGGAGAACAAGCCACCTGAAAGTCTCAAGGCTTGGTAAAGCACAGGTTTCTAGTCCCCATATCAGATTGAGTAGGTCTGAACTGGGCCTGAGAATTTCCAACAATGGTGCTGATGATGCTGGCCTGGGGGTTCCATGTGGAGATGAAGTGCCCTTCACTATGATGCTTTCTATCAGACATCACTCAAGACAGTACATTCCAACCACAGACCACAGGAACCAGCCGAAGGCTTCATGCCACTGCTCTCTCACCAGAGTGCTAGACGGGAGCAGTAAGCATACCAGCCTCCTATTTAGACAAAACTGGACCTCAAGACAGAGTTGCTCAACCCCAACCCGCAGACATTTCCTTCTAATAATGCTACCTTCCTACCTCTCTGCAAGGTTCACCCTCTGGGGAGTGGACAACACAGGGCGACGTTCCAGGCCAAGTGATGTGATTGTGAAGACGCCGTGTCCTGTGGTGGATGACGTCAAAGCCCAAGGTAAGGGACACTGAGGTTAGCAATGTCTACACATGATTGCCCAACTAGTTACCCTTGCCATGCTAAGGAACCGGTAGCCAAAGGGTGCACAGCGTGACCTGGAGTTTGACAGGAACAAAGAATCCAGGCTCAAGGTTGAAGCTTGGGTTTTCTGCCAGTACTGCTGGGCCTTGTGCTGCAGCAGAGGGTTTCACTGCATTCTGCTGTCCCATACAGTCCACCAGGCAGGAGTCAGCAGCAGACATTGATAAGGTCCCCAGGTAAGTAGGTGCTTAGGTCCATGAAAAAGAACCTGTCGTCTCTGCCCTCACGGATGGACCACTTGCTCTTTGTAGGGCTTGTACATCTGAAAGTTTGTTCTGAACTAAAGCATACAAGGCTGCAGACTTGGAATTATCTGTCGTCAACCCTCCTCCAGTGCACCTAAGTCAGTAACTCCATACTTTGAAGTTATTATGCGCCAGTTCTTCAGTGTAAGCTCCCTCACTGGCCTTGGTCCTGGGCCACTAGGAAGCTTTTTCTCAGTCATGCTCCAGCACACACGAGATGCTCCCTGACTGGTCTTGGCATCATCCCCTGTTATAAAGTTTTCACACCTCCAAAGGCAGAATTCCTCAGTTAGGCTTCCCACTTCTTGGGACTCCAGAACCAATTCAGGTGAAACTGTAAGGCCCCTAAAGTTTACTAGGAAGAACTGAAACCGAAGCCTTTTTATCAACAGAGACACTGAACACTTTGGTTCCATGGATTCCAATCAGGGGCAGACCATGGCTAAGTTTATTGTCTGATGCCCCTCACTATCCTACATATAGTTCTTGGCTATGCATATAACATCTTGACCAAGAGGGGCATAGTCCCAGAATGCTGCAGGGCGACAGCCCGATGATGAAAATCGTTTAGAAAAGAGTGATTTAGACCTACTCACTTTGTCTAACTTTTGTAGAGCAAACATGCAGGATTTTATCAGAAAGTGAAATGACAGCTCTCTGCAACAGGGATGGGGTCCCCAAAATGGGCTGCCCACCTAGCTCTGCTTTAATTCAAACCACTGACCTTTGAGTACTGTACAACTTCGGGAAATATTGTTTATAGTTAATCATATTGGCTTGTTATGCGCACAGTATTTTCAAAGACATCTGACTATAATAAAATACATTCTAATAACAATCACTTAATGGGCTGCCTTTATTCTTGTGACATGAATATTTAAAAGGCCTGTTGGGAGATAAGTGGGTGACCCTGTCTACTTCTTCAGCACCTACTTGCCAACTCCCCACTACCCTATCAATCTCTTCATTCTGGTCCTACTACCTTTCTCAATACCTCTTATACAGGTCTCACTTCTATTATAGGGTCATTGCAAATGTTAGGCCCTATTACTTCAAATGCTCTGTACCTTTCCAAATGGCTAACTCAACTCAGCCTGGAATCTCAAATCAAGTGTCCCCTTCTCCTCTGTTACGTGCCCTCACAGTACTATGTTTCTGACTTATAAGACATTTCTTTCCATTTTTATAAGGATGTGCTTAGTTTCTTTTGACCTCCCTAGCCAATGAGTGTCTTGAAGGCCTGAGGCAAGTCCCCTTTTCTGTACTGTGTGTCCCCAATCTCTAGGAGACAGTATAATTGACTGACAGCTCACATAAGTACTTAGCCTTGGAGACAACAGTCTAAGTTCAGATTCCTGATCCACCATCTACCTACTAGAACTTGAACAGCTTCCTTTATCTCATGCCTCAGTTTACTCATATGTGAAATGGGGAAAATGGTACCCCCAATGTGAAGGATCTAGCAAGAGTTGAATGAGATCATTAAACTTAAAATAGTAAAAGCAAAATGGTGCTTAGTACATAGTGAATAATAAGTAAATGTGTTAGGAATAAGTTATTGGCAACCAAGCATGAAGCCTGATAGTTCTCTGATAGAACTCAATATTCTATATATGAAGCAATAAGCACAACACTGTCCTTGTTTTACATATGATGAAATTGAAATTCCAAGTAAATAAGGTGCCTGAGGTTACAAAGAGTCTAACAGAACCCACATGCCCAGTCCATATTTGATCCCAATTCCCATTTATTTTTATAATGTTATTATGACAAACAGAGAGTGTTATTAGGTGAAAGACTCAACAGGACATTGTCTCTGCAAACTGGTGGAGAAAGGGGCTACTTTAGAAAAGGCAGAATTCCCCCTTTTAGGGCCATGTCCAGTGGGACACAGTGGAAGAAGAGAAACCCACACATATGTGGCAGGTGGCCTTCTTCCTAACGGGAGAGGAGCTGGCTCACAGGATCTGAGCCTCGAAAGTCTCTTAAACTCCATGAAGGCAAAGACAGGGTCTGTGTCACACACCTCAAGATGAGAGCCTGTCTGGGAGATCCATAGCACCTCCACACCATGTTGAAGAAGGTGCTTTTCTGTCTGGTGTTCACTGGTGTCTGGGGAGAGACAACAGCTGCCATGGAACTGCTGGCTGAGGAGAAAGCAGTAAGAAGGAGATAAACAGGAGAAATGACAATTAGCATGATGACCTCTACAGGACATGTGGTAGAGGGTAGTTAGCTCCTTCTCTGGAGGGCTCCCGCCTGTAAGTTCTAGTACAGGAGGCCTAAATGTGTTGTCTACCTGTTTTGCTTTCTAACGAAAGAACTGGAGGTGCAAGAAGACAATTTAGTGCAGACAGAATAAAATAGCAGTCCCAGGTCCTGTTACCCTTCAACCAGGAAGGAGTCCTGCTCAGAGCAAGTCTGGAGATTAATGAGTTAGACTAATTGAGGGCGTCCTTGCAAATTAATATAGTCCTTCCAAAGAAAACCCCATATGCTTTGTCTCCGCAAACCCATATGGTGATCGTAAATATAACTCATTTGGGTCTGGGCTTAAAGCGAAGGACAGGCAGGGATTTGACCCAGAGTGTGACATCAGCTCCCAGATACTATCCCTCATGTCTGTGTTTATCCAAAGCTAGCTACTACATACGTTCTAAGAAGAGTTTTACCATATCGTAACACGCCAGCTACTGTGTAAGTGTCTATTGCCCGCTTACTGGGACCAGCCTCCTGGAGCTGAAGCAAGCATTTCTTAGTGAGGAGATAAACCTTGTTGTCTGGTGTGAAGGTTGTGTCATGTTATCCTGCAAGTTCTCCATGGAATCTCACCAAGGGAAGGCTGGCGCTTGTCCTTTGTTTCCCCAGCAGCTGCCCTCCTTCCTGGTTGATACACAAATGCATCCATTCCTTTATTTGATTCTCCCACAGGTGTGCTTGTCTCCTGGAATTAGTCACCATGCAGACATTTATCAGTTGTTAGTATTGGACACAGAATCAATTTTTGTAATCAATTTCATGGATTTGTGAGCTCCTTCAACAAATATTTAGTCCTTGTTTGAGTCTGCTGTAGGAGCAAAAATACCATATATATATATATATATATATATATATATATATATATATCAGCAGGGGCCATAGACAACAGCAACAAAACAGTAAAATACATATCTCAAGTGATGATACCTATCGTGGAGATAATAAATGGGGCATGGTGGTGCATAGGCAGAGGCCAGAATTGGGGAAAGTAAGTGAAGAAGGAAGTCACACAAATGTCTTTGAAAGGACCATTTTCAAAAGTAGCAGGGTAGGCTCGAGGATGTTTGAAGAAGAGAAAGTAGAGGCTTGTGATTATTGGCTCCTATCTGTGAGGAGTGGGGAGTGGAGAAGACACATGGGAGGAGTTCCCAGGGGCTCTGGGCAGATTTAGTAGTGTCTAGTCATTAATAGGATGGGACCATATCTGGCATTGTGATGTAATGCCCTAGAGGACTTGGGACAGAAGAGTGACATCATTAGGCTTGATGTTTTAGAGGTCATTCCTATTGCTGTGATGCGAACAGGCCCAGAACATTATAAAGTGGAAATAGATGGGCATAGCAATTGATAGGCAATGGGCTGCTGTTTATAACAGGGTCACTATTGGACAGTTGCTAAGAGGTAATCAGATCTTCAATATGCTAATGGAAGAACCAAAAGGATTTATTTCTCAATAGGTTATATGTGGAACATGGCAGAAGGAACAGTCATGTTAACAGTCTTATTTGGTTGAAAGGTGTGTGATTTGCCCTGACAATTCCAGAAGTGCAGGCTTGCAAAAAATATGATAGAAGAGAAACTGGGAGAAGAAGAAAACTAATGTGAATTGGTTTGGATCTCAGGAAGAGAAGAAAAAGGGTTGAGAGGATGCCTGGAGTGAATGGAGAAGCCAAAAATACTCAGGTGTTTGTTGTTTGTTTTTTTATCGAAGAATAGGCTGAGTCCCACTACAAAATACAGAAATTGCAGAGTGAGGTTGTGTTCTGTTCACAGTATGTGAGTTTAAGATTTGCTATTTCAAAGGTGGAGCAGTTCTCAGGGACAATGATTCGTAGTTGACTGTCTTAAGGGGGCCTCTTTCACAAGAGGCAAAGCCACCATGCATGGAAGGGGCATAGAGATGAACCAGAAGCATGGCTCTTCGGTGGATGTAAGCTAGTTGTCAGGGAATGAGTGGGAGGAAATTTAAACTAGGGGAGTTTTAGAAGTGAAGACTGCTTAACACATGTGTGAGGGAGAGGGAGTTGCTTCAGTTGATTATTAGTAACTAAAGGACCATTCTCTTCAAGGACATGAGAGAAGAGTATATATGTTGTGGAGAAGGCTTCAAAAAACACAAAAATAAGGAAGGAAGAAAGGGAATGTACCCTAGTTGCGGGCAAAGAGAGAGTTGTTGCTTTGTGATAACTTCTACCCCAGAGAAAAGTAAGGAAAGATTCGAGAGAATGGATTCATGTACAACATTGGCCTTTAAAATGTGGTACATCAACAGCATCGGAGTTACCCTGGAGCTTGTCAGAAATGGGTGTTCTCTGGTTGGGCTCCAAACCAGACACTTCAGTGACAAACAGCAGCCGTGTCAGTGAAAATGATGCTTCCTATGTGAGGATCACTGGTAAGAGCGGAAGCACAGGAAAGCTTGATCGGGGAGCATATATGGAGCCAGAGAGAGAAAACAGGACCTTGCAATATGTGTAGTGCCAAGGAGGACAAAGATACCAGGCCAGTTGAGATTGCTTGGAACTGCATCATTCATTACTTCAGTGTGGGGCTGGGGTTGTAGGTGGCTCCTGAGAAATGCTAAGTGATGAATTAAGATTTCTTGTCTGGGGACCTTTTCTATGAAGCCAAGGAAACCATCAATGAAAGCTGCAGAGGTTTCCCACTCCTTCTAATTCATGTAAAAGAGCAGCTCTTACTGCGGGATGAGAAAACTCACTTGTGCTTCTGAAGTTACTATCTCATTTAATCATACTGTTTTCCCCAGTCTCCTGGGCTGCTATGTTTTGTGTCTTCTTTCTTTGTCTTGGCATAAAAGAAAATACGATCTATTGAGAAATTGTCAGTAAAAACACAAATACTATTTCTCCCTCCTTTCCCCTGCTCATTGGATGCCTGCTGTAATCTGGGAGCCTTGGTGCTGGGACTTCCCGTCTCTGTATGTTCTTCAAAAGATATTACACAGCTCACGCCCCCTTGTCTTCTGTATCTAATCCCAGTGCCTATCGTGTCATTGAGATCTGGTGCAGACACCCCACTTAAACTGGCAAAGTTCTCAATACTCCCATCCTTCCCATTCATGTTTTCTTTCCATGCCTTCTAGCACACTTCATTTCCTTTACTTAGGATGCTTTGTTGCTCACTTGACTGTCTCCCACCGCAACACGGCAAACACAAAGTGAGGACTTTTACCAGATTCTCTCAGTTACGTGGTTCCCAAGCACATTTGCTTAACATTCCAGGACTTGTTTAGCATTCATTGACCATTTTATAAAATCAATGACTAAATATAAAGTTACTGTGGGCAGATATTGCACTAAATCAAAGTTTTGCATTCAGGAAAACTTTTATTCTCATGATAATCTTGGGAAGTGTATGTTACTATCAATTATTAAAAAAACAGGAAAACTAAGACCCAAGGGGTTAAGTAATGTATCCAAGGCCTTGTGTATCCAATACACAGGAACTTGAGTCTATTCAAAAGTCTGATGGCTGCTGTTAGTTATGCCTTTGAGTCTAATGGCTTCAGCCCAGCCCTGTTATTTTATCCCACTGTCCGAGAGATCTCAGGTCCCTTCCAGCAACCGAGCCTCCCTTTCTTGCAATGATGCTGTTTCCAGCCTCCTAGTCATCTTCTCGCTTGCATGTCACTGTTCCTGACTCATGCATATTAAAGAGAAGAGGGACTTGAACCGGTCATGGATAACTGAAGACTTCTGTGAAGCTCAAAGCTAAGTAAAATAATAATTTAAACTACCTGCATTTTTTGGATGATTGAACTCTTACAATCTATATAAACTAATGAAGTTAAAAAATGTCTCAAATATTAATTAATAAAAAGAAAGAATTGTTAAAGGAAAAAACTGTCTCCGTTCTCTCAGGGGAGATGGAGGAGACAGATGTGGCTATGCTCTGGGAGCTTAAGCAGAGGTTTTTCTGAGTATAAGATCCTGTTTACTGATGGGCTTTTAATCCTCTTCAGTTAGATTATCTTGGTTTTAGCAGATTTGTAGTGGAACTTGGTTTTGCCCACAGGATGCAGATGTTGGCTTGTTCAACTAAACATGACTCTTAGGTTATGAGAGCGAAGCGTGCTCCAGGCACCACCACTGCCCTGGCCATGTCTCAACAGGAAACACGTAGAACCTGGAACCTGACACGTTATCTCCCACTGCAAGAAATATTATTTGGCATCAGTGCATCCGTCAAAGAGGAATTCCCAATCACCCTATCTAAGCTGCGGTATGAGCACCGATGGTTTTCCTTCCCTAACCATTCTCGGCTTGGCAAAACATTCCCTGCCTTCCAAATAATACAAGCCAGTCATCAGAATTGGCCCACTGTTTCCTTCTCTCCTACCTCCAGAGAAGCCCCCACTCCCTGCCACACGTACAAGGACTCTCTGCCCACATGTGCTCTGTTGGAGATAGTTACCCCAAGATACCGCCTCTTACACCTTACACTGTTTATATGCCACTGATGACTGAGTACTGCCGCAAAGCAGCAATGGCGAGGGGACAATCCAGAAGCCTCACTGCTGCCCACAATAGCAAAATGACCTCCGGTTGGTAACCTCTAACCTTGTCTGTCTCTTAATCTCATTTGTTGAGATGCACACATCTGCAGTGAGGGGTGTGAGCATGGAAAGTTCTTAGCTTTGTAAATGAATAAACCTTTAATAAAAATGAGATATCATGGGACTCCAGTTTCTAAATTGCTCTCTTCTTTATCTAAAAATCTCATTACAGCTGCCTGAGAATTTTAACAACCTGAGAATCTAATTGAATTTCTGAAGGAGACGGATGGGCAGTGCTGCCTGTAGGTTTGGTTTCCAGGGTTTGTGCAAACCAGCCTGGAGAGGGATCATTTGGAAACCCTGCTACCAAGTAGATTCAAGCTATGCTCAAACTTAGGAGCTGTATTCTTTTAGCTAACAATTCTGATCAGCTCTTTTATCTGGCACTGTACAGCTTCCAAGGATATCAAGAAAGTAAGGCTTAGCTCCCGTCCCCCAAATAACCAGTGGAACATGGAGGCCAGCACTGGTTTTAATCATTCTACCCACAACACCTTCTGGTGGATCTGACATTTACCAACATTCTGAAATTCACCTGGTGTGAGCACAAGGAATTCCGTGCTGTGATTGGCTAATGGGGTCAAGTAGGCATAATTCTGATTTTTTTCACCCAAGAACTCAGTTTCTTCAACTCCAGAATTAACACACCAAAGGACAAGCATTGCTCACCTGCTCAGAAGATGATAGCTCTCAGATATTAAGAAGAACATGCAAAAAGCATCTCTTTTTCTGATGGCCATATTGAGAAAACATGTAATGATAAAACTCCTCAGATTTTAAAACAAAAAGAATGTTAAGGCTGTGCAAAGTTGTAACTGCTTTAGCATGTCACTGAACTCAGTCTTAGCCATGGAAACTTTTGAGGCAGATACACCACAGGTATAAATTAAACTGAATGTTTACTCATTTGGGATTGTATAGTGTTCTAGCTTAAGTTTCTGAATGTATATAGATTCTCATGTTACCTTTACGTCGGGCCTATGTGGTTCCTGCAAATGTTTAGTGTTCCAAAGTCAATGCTTCTCTGAATTCTTCTCTTGACTCAAAAATATTCTCTGGTGGTGCCTCACTTTATCTCTGAGCCAAAGCCTGCCATCTGTGGCCTGAGTTTCCCCAGTGCTTTTTAAAGAACCACTTGGTACCCAGGTAAATGCTACCTACACATATAAGGTTTTCATGTCAGTGTGCCATAGGAGTAAACTCCAACCAGTCTTATATGGAAGCACACTTGGACCAATCTTTAACGGGAACTCAACATCAAGTCTTTATTCCTCCCACTGTATGGTTCAGAAGTGATTCGGTAGCTTCAAACATCCTCTCCTGCAAAATATAACATTTGGGTTCCCAGGAAGGCATTACCAGCTTCCTGACATAATCTTTTATATTTTCTCTCATTTCTTGCTTCATTGGCCTTTATCCCCAGACCTATTTCTTTGGGATTGCACTTTCCAATCAAGCATGAATATGTGAGCTTTTGCCTTAGGTTATTATTATTATTGTTATTAGTTAGCAAACCTTGGTAAGACAAAGAGTATGGCAGCTGAAATTGACCTTAGAGGTGTATTAGTCAAAGGCATTTAATTTATTAAAAAGAGAACTGAAACCCAGTGGCATAGAGGTAGAGTAGATTACACATATCAATCTCATATTTTAGGATCAGTGTTTTAAAATAACACCATGCATGCATAAATAAATATGCTTATATTTATTTCCTGGCACATATAAATACATGCGCATACATTGCATATGATTATACATATATAATTAATGGCTGAATACTATGTAATGATATTTTGATAAGTAATGGACCACATATACCACAGTGGTCCCATGAGCCTATAATGAAGCCACAAATTTCCTATACACAGTAATGATGTAGCAGTCATGATGGAAGAGCAAAGTGTATTCTCACAGGCTTGTGGTGCTGATGTAAACAAATCCACTGTGTTGCCAGTCACATAACACACACGATTGTGTGCACCTAGTAATATTGACCCTGATAATGAACAACTATCACTGGTTTATGTATTTACTCTTCTACATATAAAACTATGTAGTACTCCACTTAGAAAATACCTTATTGAAAATAGCACACTATTTCACAGCAGCAGCCTTATACATCTGTGTCTACCATGTCTCTTGATTGTGTTCTTCTTGCTCCTGTTTTAATCTTGTAGTGTTCATCACGATTCCAGGAACAACGGTTATGCCTGGGGTATTTCATATATAACACATGTTAACAGACAGCACCATCTATTTTGTTTTGAGGAACTCTGTATAATCTCTGCACAGAGTTGAAATCTCCTAATGATGTATTTCCCAAAGAGTAACTGGACTTGCCTTTTCTTCCCTTCTTAGAAATAGCAGACAAGATCTACAATCTCTTCAATGGCTACACCAGCGGCAAGGAGCAACAGACTGCCTACAACACCCTTCTGGATCTGGGTTCCCCCACTTTGCATCGAGTCCTCTACCACTATAACCAGCACTACGAGAGTTTTGGGGAATTCACCTGGCGGTGTGAGGATGAATTAGGTCCCAGGTACTCAGCGAACTGTGCATTCTCTTTTAAACACTCTGCGGAGCCTTGTGTGTCTCTTATGCTGTTGTACGGTTTCCTGGACATTGTAGGGACTTTCTGAGGGATCTCAAACGCTCAGAGAACTAAGTAACATGTTTTACATAGCCCAGGGCATGCAGAATGGTTTGGAATCAGCTCTTTTGAAGCAGCTGAGTCATGAATTCACATCCCGAGCCTTTGTTCCTGTTCTTGATCCCACTGATACAAAATTCCAGATGCTAAATTGACAGGAAATCAAACCTCAGTCTTTTGAAGGAAACTAAAAGGTTTACTAAGGAGATCATCATGGATCATCCAGGGCACATGAACGTTACCTATGGGATGCAGACTTTTGCATGTTCTTTCAAGATGGTGTCGGAGAAGATGGGGCCTCCATTAAGGTGACATAGCACTTTCCCACTTACTCCTGACCCAATCCTGTCACTTCCTAATGCACAATATACACTGTTTACACTGTTTTTAGGTCATGAAACTCAGATAGAATTCCTGGAAAGTAGGGAATGAGGAGTGTAGAGAGATAGCACTTCCTGTCTTAGACTGTTTATTATGACCATGTATTGAAATAGCTGATTTTCCTGGAAATTCTGTTAATCTTAGACATAATGAAGAGGCAGGTTGCATAAAATTTAGTATCATAAATCATTCAAGATCCTTTGAAAACTGAAGATAGAACAAGGGCTGTGAGAATAGGGAAAATAAAATGAAAGCAAAAGAAAGGGGAGGACAGGGTGTGGTGGAAGGTGGAGGACAGAAGGAGATAGAGACGTGGGGGAGCAAGAAAAGGAGGGTGGGAGAGAGTCAGGAAGAGGAGGCAAAGTAAGGGAAATGGATACTGTAGTAGCCCTGCCTACTCCTACCTCTAGCTCTTAAGCAGTTCTCATACTTTAGTCAACAGGCAGAGCAGTGCTCCCCGGAAGTTACCCATCCCATCTTCTGACATCTGAGGGCACTCACCTCAGTAGTTAGAAAGTTTCCAGGAAAACCATTGTTCAGGATATTTCCCCTTTATTTCTCTCTCTCTCTCTCTCTCTCTCTCTCTCTCTCTCTGTGTGTGTGTGTGTATACACGTAAGTACGTATATGTGTGCAGGTGTGTTGGTGTGCTGGTGTGTGCGGGTGTGGTTGGAGGCCAGAGGTCCGCCTTGGGGACTGCCTCCTGTCTCTACTTCTATGGATGTGGGATTCTAATAGCATCCCACCCCAGGGTCCTGATTTCTGAGAACTGGACTAACATCTGCACGGCAAAGACTTTGTTGACTGAGCCATCTTCCCAAGCTCTACTTTATTATTTTTGGAGGAGGTAGACTATTTAGGTTATTCTTCCTGGAATAAAACAGTTGTTTGTATAAAGTCAGGCAGGATCTAGCTACACTCTGTATGTTTACCTGTAATTTACAAAGAATGATAGACTTTGAACAAACAAAGCCACTGTTGTAGGTCTAAGGGAAATATGTAGGGGGGCAGTTAACCTGTCTGTCTTGTCTTTTTTAAGAAATAAATTCTAACTTAGAATGTAGATAAGTATTAAGCAATGTCCTTTACACTCTAGACCCTATAACTACCTCTGGTCAAATTATTGCTCACACGTGCCATACTCTCCTCTAGCTACCTCCTCCTCTTCCATTCTTTCCTTTTTTCTTTTCCTTCTGCTCCTAGTGCCCCTCTTTTCCTCCCTTCCTTTCCTTAATCTGAGATTTATCCATTATACACACACAGTTCTTTGTTGGGGAGCAGAAATGCCACAATTTGAATGGCACTAGCATTGCAAATTTTATTGTTACTTCTAACGGCATTTGAGTCTTTAAATTTCTCTTTTGCGACTCAAGATTCAGAAGGAAGATTGGTTAATGCAGAAAGTGAGCAGGGGAGGATATGGGAATGCCACTGTGAAGCAAAGCCCACTCTGGTCTCCACACTCTCCTCCCAAAGGCTCACATGGGCAATACTGATCTTTCACAAATTCATAGTAGAAAACATTGTGTTATTCCATTAGCCCATGGAAACAAAGTCTTAGTTTTTAATGTCATGAGTCTGAGAGAGCCACAGGAAAGGAAAAGTTCACAGCCTTCAGGGACATCAACTCACTCCAGGGTTAATTGTGAGAATGACTAAAGACGGGTCTGTGGGAACACACTTCCTGTTAGCAAACAGAAAGGGTTCCCACTGTTCTGGGTAGAGTTATTAAAACCTGAGGCTTCCAGACTGAGCTGAGGTTGCAAACACTGAGGACAACAGTGTTGCACCATTGCTAACAAAGAAGGCTGCTGCCTCTGAGATGGTCAAGAGCAGACCCGAAGTAATTATTATTTAAAGAACAATCAGGGAGCAATGAAAACAGCAACAAAGACTCCATAGACTAATTCAATTCACTCTTTTGAAAGGCTACTGGGTTGTGCTCCTTCTGTTTCCGGAAGATGATGAGATGCTGTCCTCATTCTTTCTTCATACCCCACCCCCACGTCTTCCAACTCCTCAGAAGGCTAGCTAATGATAGCACACAAAAGAGGGATTAAGAGGAAAGGGCCACCAAAACCCTGAACCCTGCCTGACCAAACTAGAGGAGCTGACAGGGAAAGTTCAGATCATCCAGAGAGACTCCTTAGTCAGATGAGAGACCGTTGGTTTGAGTTCCTCCGACCTACCATCACTGGAGAAAATACAACTTCTTTTTAGTGAGGTTACACTGCTCTCCGTTTCTTGACTTTGCTGCTTGAAGTTTGACATCTTTACTCCAACACCAGCTTAACCCTCCTTTTTCCTGTCATCTTAGGAATCCAGTGATATCACTGCTCTCCCCATCCCAAACAACACACTCCGCTGCCCAGAGGAAGAGGAATTAAATGGGTGTAGTTATTCTTCTTTGAAATGTTTGCTATAAAAGAGATGCAGGAAAATTCCCATTTGTGTAAGAAGTTGTTGATTAAAGCAGAAAAGAGATCATTCTTTACAAGAAAAGTTTTTTTTTTTTTTTTACCTTAGCAGTGAGTTAATACTGCGGGGGATTCTGTTCTGCAAGCTTTCTATTCTGCATTTTGAGCCTTTCATGAGCTTGCTCCAGTAGGAGAATCATCTTCATGGCTTCCTGACCACTTATATCTTTGAAAAGTAGAAAAGAAGCACAACCAAGTGAGAGGATCCCCTGTCCTAGGTGCTTAAAAAGAAAACCAACATGGCCTGAGAACCGGCTTCCAGGTGTCCTTCACGTCTGACTCCAGGAGAAAGGACACAGCCGTCACCTCAGGGCTAGCCGGTTCACCAGACAGTGTTAGCCATTTCACCAGGCGGTGGCAGCCGTTTTGCCAGGCTGTGTGCCAGAGGTTCCACATGCTGAGATAGCAGTATTGTCAATGTGTGTAATACTGGGCAACCTTGCTCTCCTCTCCTACTGCTCCCCAGATCCTCAATAGCTCAGGTGCCCTCTCACCCACTCCCTTGCTTGTTTATTCAGTGGTGTTTGGTAGCAACAGCAATGGCCTTGTGTCTTTATGAAGGAGATGAAGAAGCGGAGCGTGTGCTCCCCTGAAGGTTAATTAGGTGGTGTGTGCACCTGGGAGTCTGCTCTGTCCAAAATATGCTTCATGTCAATGTGAGCCAGAGTCCTATTGTCCTCGGGATTATTGTACTATAATTACCTCAGCACGGGCATAATTGGTTACATCAGATACCCCTTTCATTCCACTGTATTGACTGTTTTTTTTATCAATTCAAATTTAGCTTTGAAAGGAGAAATTCTCAGGCAAATACATTACTTGTCATTTAGTGATGATAAATTACTGACTTTATACAACATTGATTTGATTTCTCTCAAGACTAACAGACTCCATGATTTAAAAAGTTATATATTCCCACTAAAATATTAGTTATTCATTTTCTCAGTTTTATTTATGTTTTTTCCTGGCTGCATTTGTTACTTCCATTTCTTGCTTGTGCCTACATCACTTCACCTGCCCATGCCTAGCACGTAGCGGGCGTGGTCGATTGATAAAATAACCAGACCAATTCTATATAAAGATTTGACTTTTAATCAAAAGGGGAAAACTTACAAGACCTGAAATCCCATGAACATCATTGGAGCCGTAAAACCGAAAAGGGGAAGGGGGCAAGGCACTTCGATCTTTTATAGCCTGAATGGACACACCTTAAGCAGAATGTGATTGGCTGAGATTCCCCATCAGTGCACTCATTCATTCATTGATTCATTTATTCACTGGACAGACAAGCATGAAGGGTCTGCTGTGCTAAGAGGAAAAGCATGGAGTAGGACGGAGTAGAACGGTCAGCTCTACCCTCTTAAAGGCAGGAGTCTCGCCCTGGCAGTAATTTTCTTTTCTGGCAATCTCTTTTTGGCATGCTTGTTTGCTGATGAAAGCATCCTTTCTCTTTGGCCTGCAGGAAAGCAGGCCTCATCCTTTCCCAGCTGGGAGACCTGAGCAGCTGGTGCAATGGACTTCTTCAGGAGCCCAAGATCAGCTTGAGGCGAGCTTCACTCAAGTACCTGGGCTGCCGGTACAGTGAGATCAAGCCCTATGGACTGGACTGGTCAGAGCTCAGCCGGGACCTCAGGAAGACCTGTGAAGAGCAGACCTTGAGTGTCCCCTACAATGACTATGGGGACAGCAAGGACATCTAACATCATGGGGCCCGGGAGTCGCTGCCAAAAGAAAGCAGGAGAGAAGAGGGGGACATCTGGGTGGGTTTGTGGATTTTTAGACATTTTTTTTTAAATGGGACATCCAAAGCTCCACAGGTACCTTCTAAACCAGGAAGAGAGTAGCCCTTGCTCCCTGCAGGACTTGTCCGGTGTGATAACCTCCATCTGCATGATCACTCAACCCAACAGCCAGTAGCTTCATGCAGCATCATTTTGTTTCCTTAGAAGATTACCTTGAAACTCATTTTGGCATTTATTTTCTTCGGTCACTTGTTTTTCTTCAAGAAATTTACCGGGATGCTTAAGCGCTCCATCCCGCTGCCCACGAAAGGTCAAAGGTGGAGGTGCTACTATTAGTGAGTTCCTAGTGGCACCTGGGAACAGAAGTGAAAGCATAAATCTTCACCTGCCTGGTGCCCCAGCTCTGGCATTTCTTAGGAAGCCTCGGAATGCTGGGAGCCCAGGTATGCGCTGAAGAAGACAATGAGGTGGCCCATGCGTGTTTCTCATGGATTTTTTCCCCAGGCTCCCTTGTTGCTATCTCCAGACCTCACAGGTGGACCCAGGTTCTGCTAGGGGTCCAGGGGGTCTTATAGAGGGTCTTCCCTTCTCCATGTTAAGCCAGGACCAGAATTGCTGGTAAATTTCCATTCTTTCTTCGAAACAACATGATCTTTGAGAGGCAGTGCAATAACGCCTATCAAATCTAGATCCAGAGAGGGCTAAGTGCAAGACTACTCGGCAGACCGCTTAGCAGGAAATAAGAGGAGTTTGTCTAAAAATATTTATACTCTCTGAAACTACCAGCAGAGACCTAAGAGCCTTGATTCTGTTTGGTCCTGGGCCCCTTCCTCTGGATGGAAAGGACTTGATTGATGTTTGGTTTCATCCGGGAATGAGATTCTTTCCTGCCAGTATTTCAGTGAACTAAAGCTCTTATCAATCTGAAAAGTGCTTCTCTCCACACTCCCCTTACTAAATTTTCTGAATCATATTGTAATTTTTGACAGTCCTTTCTCCAATGTCAATCAGCTGGCTTCTGTCATTGCCACTGGTTGCCTCCCCACAACCCCCTGACTCTGCCGGTTCCTGAGACTAGCGGGGCCTCTGGATAGACCAGAGCATCTGGCAATCATGCTCAGTAGGGACTGAGGTCCCGTTTGCACTCTGCCCGAGAGTGCTATGGTGACTCAGCTATCAGGAAGACTAGCTTCGTGGGTCCAGGTCGACTAGCAATGACCCAGTGTACATTCAGCCAGCTTGCCTTCCCTGGAACTCTCCCCATGGAAACACATGAAGGGTCTGGAAGGCTCTCCAGCATGGTCACCGAGCCTTATTCATGCTGTCCAATTAGGGATAATGACAGACAATATTGATTAGCTGCTGTGTGATGGGGACTACTCTAAACGTTTTACTGAATCCCCAACCCCCTAAGGAAAGTTCTATTCTTTTTTCTGCCTTTTAGTGATGAGCAATGAAGGCAGGAAGGTGACTCAATGTTCCCCAGGTCTCTCAAACACTGTATGTCCTGAGCTACAGGATGAGCTCAGTGTCTCCAGAGCACAGGACTTTAGCCACTCTGTGTTGCCTAAAACATGCAGCTGTCCAACGAGGCACTAAGCTCCACAGGGAACCCCCTTCCCCCAGAGCTTTACCTTCCTAAGGAACCATGTACAGATTGCCCCTCACGCAACAGGAAGGGAGAGTGCCAAAGTACACCCATAGCCTTTGGAGTCGGGGTGCATTTGGTGCCCTCAACACAACAGCATCCTGGCTTCCCCGTGTGAGTGGGGAGGATTTATCTTGTACATTTTGCCTCACAGATTCCCTAACTTTTAGAACAAAGTACAGATGAAAACTTGACTGTCTCACCTTCGGCCAGTGCACGAGCTTTAGGAAAAGGGAATCCAAGGGCAAGTTGTTCCCCATTGGTAGGGTGTATACATCTCCTTACTGCTGTTTTTTTTCTTTCTTTCCATTTTTCTCTTCAACTCTGTGATGAAAATGGTGTCTTGATATTGAACAGAAGGATAGTGAGGCTGCTGATGCCGTCCAGCCCTGTTGGAGATAGGAGCTTATAGGTTCAGGAGGGAAAACAAGGAGTGGGGTTAAGATTATTACTCTGGCCGGGCGGTGGTGGCACACACCTTTAATTCCAGCACTCGGGAGGCAGAGGCAGAGGCAGATGGACCTCTGTGAGTTGGAGGCCAGCCTGGTCTACAAGAGCTAGTTCCAGGACAGGCTTCAAAGCAACAGAGAAACCCTGTCTCAGAAAACAAAACAAAACAAAAACAACACAAAAAGATTACGACTCTGTCGCCTCCCCCATTCTGTTTTACTCCAGGCACACCCTCCTCCTCTTTTATCCTCGACTCTCCAAAGCTCTCCAAAGTCCTTCCACCAATGTCTCTGTTATCTCTCTCTCTCTTTTTCCTCTCTCGCTTACCCTTGACTGCCTATTCTTTCAGTCTGCTCTTATGTTCTCCTTTCTTCAAATGTATGACGATGTATATATACCCTCACTCCCACACACTACGAATGCAACTCCTATGATGGGTGCAGTGTAATTTTGAGTTTAAAAGTCCAACATGAATGGGTCTTAAGATGGTTATAGACGTGGCTGGAAGATTTTTACCTTCGTCGAGATAAGGATTACACCCGTCAACCATTCTCAGTTCTTGCCTGGAGGAACTCTCTAGAAAAGCTAATGCGATCGAGCCAGTATTAAACCTCATTTCCAAGCTGCCAAACAGGTCTTAAGGGAGCCACTTCCATCCACCTAAATGCCTCCAGTTCTGTGTCAAACTGGGACCTCTATTGTTTCCTCTTGAATGTACACAATTCACTGTATAGCATCACACCCTTAACTGAGTGTGCAATTGTTTCTCTTGAAGTTCGGTCCCTTCGCTATTTTTAGTTAACTGCACTCCTTGATATTCAAATGTTCTATTAAAAAGTTAAGTGTGGAAAAGCACTACACTACTGTAGAAGGAAGACATGGTACAATGTGACCAATCTCACCTATAACAGTGTTATAAGAGAATTACTGTACGATTATGAGAAATGAAGTAATTGAGTAAATAATAAACAAAGCTGTCAGCAGGTGTTGAGTGTGTGGGTATTGCCTCCTGTCGTCCCATCAACTAGGCAATCACCATGGCCTACCGGTGAATTAAGTGTCTAAGTGTTACAATTTATATGCCAAATACCTAGGTTTTGAAGCCATCATCTTAACTAGAACATAAAATGGTTCCCACAGACAATGATCAGCTTATGTTTGTGTGGTAGTGATTTTGATCCTCTGTTCCCTCCTCCAGGGAAGTAGTAAGTGCAATGTCTTTGCAGCAGATTTGCCATTTTCCAGACACAGAGAGGCACAAACTTCCTCTGCCAAAGCTTGGCCTTCCACATTGAACCTGTCCTTACAAGGGGAAGGTAGGCTGACACACAGCCTAAGACAAGGAGGGAAGGAAAACGTTGCAAAAGGCCACCCTGCATCCGTCCTTGTGTTTAGCAAAGTCTTTTGAGATTTGCTGGATGTTATGAGACACCTTCTGGTAGGTAACCTCAAATGCCTAATCTCTTTTTTCCACTCTACAGTGTGACTTTAGATGTTTCTTGTCTGCCACCAAAACACACGATTCACTTCAACTCGTCAATAGTCAGAGATTAAGAGTTTGGTCTTAATATAGTCTCTGAAAAGCAATGATCAAAGTCCTAGGCCCTGCATAGGCAGGCATGATTAAAAGAAGACACAGACTGGAGCAGGGTTCTATTTTGGTCACACACTCTTCCACATCCCTTTCATCTAAATGTTCTTTTGCCTCTGCCCTCAAGTCTGGGCAGGTTTATGTCTGTTTTGGTCAATAGGTTATAATGGAAGTGAGAGTTTGTGACTTCTACATCAGAGTCAAAAAAGGCTTTGGGATTTTGACCTGCTCTGGAGCTCCTGCTCTTGAAGCCATCTGCAATCAGATAAGAAATCCAAGACTTGGAGTTGGAGTAATGACTCAGCAGCTAAGAGCGCTTCCTCTTCTCACAGAGGACCTGGGCTCAGCTTCCAGCACCCACAGATCAGCTCTTAACCATCCATAACTACAGTTCCCAGGGGATCTGACACCTTCTTCTGGCTGCTGCAGGCCCCAGACATACATATAAATATATTCAGGCAAAGACTTCTTACACATATCATAAAAATAAATAAATCTTTTTTTTTTTAAAAAAATAAAGTCTGCCAAGAAGTAGGTGGACTTCCCATTTACTCCATGATGAGAAGGCTACATGCTACCTCTTTGGTCTATGGCACCCACTAGGACAATTTTGTTGAGAACTCACAAATGAAATAGCCTGGAACCTTCGAGAATAGTTCCCCTACCTACTGCATTGGACCACGAGCCTCTGTCAAAGTGAGAACCTCCTTGTCAAGCATGCCTAAAATTCTTGACACTTGTTCCAATTATATAAGACTATCAATGGTTGTATCCTGTGGATTAAAGGAATCAAATGAATAATAACGTGTCTATTTGATCTGTTCAGTGACCAGCATACAGGTAAGACTGTCCTGGGTGTAAATTCATCTCAGAAAGGAGAGGGAACTGTGTTAGTAAGATGTTCTTCTCATTGATGGACAGAGTCTGTGGTCCATGAAAGGATTACCAAAAGAAAGATGGACACTGTACCCCAGGGCTGCCAAGAGATCAAACCTCAAGATATACTGTGAGAGTGGAGACATTATTTTAGGGCCAGAAAATGAGAAAAGAACCTCCCACAAGGAGTAAGAAAAAGTACCGAATGAAAAAGGGTACTTTAAGTTATTTTGTTTGTATGTCCTTTTGCGTTTGGAACTTTGTGGAAATGAATGTGTCAACCCACACTTCCTGTGTGCCAGGTCCTATGCTAAACTCTTAACTGCATATGCTTCAATGTTCATCACAAATTAATACTTAAGAAAGAGAGAGAAAGGAGTTACATGAAAGTATAGCCATCTCTACCAATACCTACATTACTCTGATTCTGATATTGTACTGTTTCTACACATTACATTCATATTTCATTAAATATAAATTTCTGAGGAGTTGTTTTCTTCAGGGATGTCATACTGATAAGTTTCCCATGGTATATAACTTCCAGAACAACTACACACATGCAAGCAACTCTTATTAAACTCCCTGGATCACACACCAAATGAAGAGGTGAAGGTAGGAAGGGGCTCTTGTTGCTAAGAAGATTGTTAGGATATGCAGGGTGATGAGAGAGGAATGGAGAGTGAAATGACCAAAATTCACGGTGTGTGTGTGTGTGTGTGTGTGTGTGTGTGTGTGTGTATACACAAAAGTTCTAGGTTTAAAAGAAAAGAATTAATTTCGAGGGTCATAAACCTATTTTTACAGTCTGAGCATACTGTGGTTTTATTTTAGATTTTCTTTTTAACCACATGAGGGTACTACAAACCTACAGAAATATTATTCTAGCTCTGTGCATATCTTTGTGGGTCTTTTGGCTCTATTTTCCTCCCATGCATGCAGAGTCCTGTCACTACTTGGAAGAGACCTCAGGGGATGAAAGCCTTCAGGATAGCAGAGAAGAGACCCAGAATTCAGCTCTGATGTTGATAAATGCCACGACCATCTCTGTGCCCACCATGAACTCCTATAGTATTTCTAGTTCATATAGACTAATTAGGTAGTAGTTCCATTTCAAATAAAGCCCCAACATTGTATGGAAATTACTTTGAGTTCATGTGGGAATCTGGGACTTGATTCACTTCTGTACTCATGCAAATTGAGAAAATAAAGAAACGTCTTGTTCCGGAGTTTTGCAATGTGGGCCCTGCAATTAACTGCTTTCCTTACAGATGGACAGGTTTTGACATCACATTTCTTCACCAACTATGACTTTTGTTAGTGTCTATGATATACTCACCCACATGGGGCAGAAATTAATGTAATTCATTCCTTATTACCTTTCCTACCAAGAGATCCCAGCTGTACTCTGTGTCTAATAAATAAGGGCAAGTTCCTTTGTTTCGAATGATTAAAAGTCAAGAGACCCTGAGGCTGTTGTCCAAAGAGTCACACTATTCTCTGACTCTCCAGACAGGAAACATCCTCAAACCATGCCCTTGTGGTGTCCCAGGACTCAACTTCACAAGGATGAAACTAAGGTCAAACAAGTCTTGTTTGGAAACGATAGCTGGGCCTTCTTTGCTCTATTCTTTGCCACGCAATGAACTCCTACTAAGGCATTTCTAGACTCTCTGACCTTTGGGCCTCAACCGGAACATGGGATGTATTTGTAGACGCTTAGAGGACAGGTAGAGACACCAAGCCAGGATACTTCCCCTCCCTCCACTCTGGATGGTGTCTCCAAAACCTCTTTAGTGGCCGCTGTCTCCTCTGTGTGTCCACTGAGTCTGCAAAGTAAGAGCTTCTCTGGATGTTACCATACCTAAGGTTGTCTTACCATTCCTTACCTTCCCTTTTCATTCATTCAATCTTTCTCTTGGTGCCATAATTCAGAATTCCTCTATGAAACTACCTAAGACAATTTCTTTTTCCTTGTCTGGGCCTTAACTATTGCATACTTTATTGAAAGATAATTACTTACAGAGTATTTGACATAAGATTTTCAGAAGTCCTGAAGTTCTTGGAGACCATCTTGGAGATTGAGTTTTGAAGATAACGAAGTTTAGATTTATGTGAACTTTAAAACAAAGAAGTTTGCAGTTCAGGACTGAATTGAATCAGGAGTTTGTTTGGACGTATGAACTGCTTCCTGAACAATTGGGTTGAAGATAATGGAGCTTGTGAATCAGCTCCTGGTCAGGAAAAGTGAGATCTATTAGTGTCTGGGAAGAGAACATTTATGGTTACTCAGAGGATGCATGCCATGCGAGTGCCTGTCCTAGTTACAGAAATGGACTAGGCAAAGAACAGGTGAAACTGTATATACACAGGGAAATCAATGACATATGAATCATATTTTATAAATATATTTGGACAAAACTAAAGTGAATATAAACTTATTGTTTATTGATAATAGAAACAGAATGAGAGCAAGTAACTCACTTCTGAGATCTTTCGGTCTTACTGATACATGATTAGAGCCCCCCAACTCTCCTTAGGTTTTCTGTTTGTCTATTTGTTTGTTTGGGTCAGGGTCATAGCAGAACTCACTATGTGGACCAGGCTAGCCTCAAACTCACATAGATCTGCCT